AATGTTTCAAATGCACTTTGTCTATCTATCCATACACTCACACTCACACATACGCACACGCAAGCACTGATTGATAGGCAGTGGCATACACTCACTACTAATAGATAGATAGATAGATAGATAGACACACAGACACATACGTACATAGACAATTGAATGTAATGAACAAAGTGCATTGAAGGATTGAACGATTGAACGATTGAACAGTGAACATTGAACATTGAACACTGAACAAACAAACGAACAACACAGTTAAACTCTTTCGTTTTCTTCTGCTTGATCAATTATTGATTTCATACAATGATTATCATAAACAATAAAAATTTGGAAATGATAATAATAATAATAATAGTTATTATCCCCATCATTAATGATAATAAGAATATCGGAAATAATCCAAAGTGTACTTTAATTTATTATGATTATTGCTTTGTTGAATAAATTTTGTAGAAAAATTAAAACAAACAAACAGGCAAACAGGCAAATGAACACATAATAATAAAACCAGCACCAGTAGTGGTGCAATGATGAAGCTTTTGTTTATCTGATTAACGAGGAAAAAAAAGAAAAAAGCAAGACAGTAGTTAGTTAGGAAGGAAAGGAGAGAATTTTAGTGTGAAACAGAAAACAAAACCGAGAGAAAGGAGTGTATATGAGAATTGGGAAAAAAAAGTAAAAAAGAATAATAGTTTGTGGTTATTAGAATAGATATATATATATATCGCGATAAATCGTTTTTTCATTTCTCTGTAGATCATTCAAACAAATAAGATTTGATTCATTTTATTTGGTTATAACAAAAGCGTGTTAGTTTGCATTGTTTTACTTTGAAATTATGAATGGATAATTGTTATACCGTCATTATTATAGGTGTCTCAGAAGCATTGCTCGTATATCGTGGGACACCCGAGTGAGCAACGTTGTTATTAGGAAACTGGTGCTAGGTAAGAATGGCAGATCAATAAATGAAGTAATGAAACTTCATCAGTTGAGGTGGTTGGGACATGTGCTGCGTATGCCTAACCACCGACTGTCTCGACGAGCTTTGTTTTGTAGTGTAGGAGTAGGTTGGAAGAAAGCTAGGGGCGGCCAGACCAAAACATGCAGAAATCCATGAAATCATTGACGAATGGACTTAGCCATGTTGGTAGATGTAGACTACTTGGTTGGGATCCATGAGACGATAGTAACCGATGGTTAGAGACTTTGAATGATATGGCTCAAAATCGTTTGCAGTGGAGCAGTTGCATCCATTCTTTGTGTTCTCTCAAATCCTAATCTTCTGGATTCTTCAACACCTCTAGTTTTGTCTTTCTAAACTTATCTCACTGAATCATACTTCTTGAATAATATCTTCTAATCCTAACCTCTCCGATTACTTCTAATACATTTACTACCTCTACTACTATTGGATTTGAATTGACAATTACATCTCTGTGCTGATGTGGTATGGCAACATGAACTGATGTACTTACGTACGAAGTTCTACGTTGCATCTGACTGACTGACTGACTGAGACCATCATTAGAAATCTGGAATTATTGGACGGGTAGTTAATTTGTACAGCCGACACTAGAACACCAAGAACCTAAAGAACTTAGTCATTAGTGGGTATTGCTAAAAACAATGGGTGAGGATTGATTACAGTTAGACATTAACACCGTTCGATGCCAACTCAGTGTTCTAGGGGTTAAATGCTGGTACGTAACACTGAAGGTCCTGGTTTCGAATCCCACGAGTAGCAGGATTCGTTGATGCGCACTGCTGATAAGCTGCATACCAGGACGAAACAGTCGTGCTTCAGTGCTGCTGTATTTCTAATGCTCGTCTAACAATTATTCACTAATGATTTCAAGGTAAAGACAAATCTCGACTAAGATGAAACAAACACACACACACACACATCTTAGATTCTACTTCTCACCAAATTCTATCTGTTTTATTCATAAACGTGTTCATTATTCAGTATTTTGTTTGCTTTTATATACTGCTTAGAAAAATAATTTTATGAATCTAAACAGTCAGTCGGTCAGTCAGCGTAGAACGTCCTACGTACGTACATCAGTTCAAGTTGCCATAACACATTGCCAGACAGAGATGGAATTATCAATTCAAATCCCAGTGTAATAGAGGGTGTAGAAGTAGAAGAAGTAATCAAAAGGATTAGTGATCGAAGATATCGTTCGAGAAGCATATCTCAAAGGAATCAATTTTTAAAAAAATGAAAGTAAAAAACCGTCATGACGAATTCAGAAGATTAGAATTTGAGAGAACACAAAGAATGGATACATCTGCGCCACTGCAAACGATTTTGAGCCATGTCGTTCAAAGTCTCTTACCATAGGTTACTATCAACTCATGGACCGCTACCAACATGGCTCAATTCACTTGTCAATGACTTTATGGATTTGTACTATGTTTTGATCTGGCCACCGCTAACTTTCTTCCTCTACACCAGGTATCATAGCTCGTCAAGGCAGTCGGTGGTTGGTTATTCGTGATACATTTCACAATCACTTCAACTGATGAGGTTTCACTACTTCATCTATTGATCTGCCATCCTTACCTAATACACTTTTCCTAACATTTTCAGCTAAACAATCATTTAAAGTTAGTTAGCTTATTGTAAAATACTTTACTTATTCTACGATTAGTGAGAATTTATTCAGCTTACAAGTGTTTAAGATATAATCAAGAGAAGAAAAATATCTTTCATCTGTTGTCTTTTTTAACACATGTAGTCCACTAGAGTGTTAGATACCTGGTTAGTTGCGCTACAAAATTGAGCTGTATGTACTGTTCACGTTTGTAGTGTTAATACATGTGCAGTGAGTATCTGGTTCTCCTGACAGAAAAAATGTAAAATTACCCTTGCCAATTGAGGATGAACCGATACAATTGTGAAATGGAAGAAAGCTAGCGGTAGCCAAAACAAAACATGGCATAAATTCATGAAGTCATTGACAACTCGACTGTGAGTCAATGTTGGTAGGTGTAGACTATCTGGTTAGGGTCCGCAAGACAACGGTAACCGATGGTTAGAGACTTTGAATGGCATCATGACTTAAAATCATGTTCAATGGCGCAGAGGCATCCATTCTTTGTGTTCTCTTAAATTCTAACCTTCCGAATTCCTCATCATCTCTATCTTTCTCCTTCTAAAGTTTTATCTCACTGAATTATACTCAGTGAATAACATTTTCGAACCCAAATCTTTCCGATTACTGCACATACTTCTACTGTAGTGAAGGAGAACACAGGTGGGGCAACCGAATTGTATTTAACGAAAATTACAGAGTTACTCAGTAAAATTGTAAAAACCATATCGTAAATCGTTCATTTGCAAAATATCAGTCCATCATATCGAACTGGACTGTTCCTGTTGCAAAACATCAATCCATTGTCACTCACTATTCATGCGTTTTCATACAAATTCCATTGTTTTCCTAACTCTTCTTTCTTGATTTTCCCCCCATCTTCGGCTGCTCGACATTACGTTGACGCTCACGTCATATACTACTTATAAGTAGCTTGCACCACACTACCACCTCTACCATTATGGGATTTGAATCGACAATTCCATCTGTGTTCTTGCTAATGTGATATGGCAACTTGAACTGGTGTATGTAGGTACGTACCAAGTTCTACGTTGATCAACTGACTTAACTAACAGAAGGTTCGAAAGAAATATCGCTTCATCTTGTTACCGGAAAGTGTCATGTGTAGTGACAGAAAAATTACCACTTAGTAAAAAGGTCAAACGTCCAATCAAAGATATGATAAAAATAGATTCAAAAATATGATTGTTATTTGACTAGCCCTCATCACCTGGAACCCTCCAGGTCAAATGAAAAGAGGAAGACCAAGGAACATATTACGCGAAGAAATGGAGGCAGACATGAGAAAAATGAATAAAAATTGGACAGAACTAGAAAGGGAAGCCCAGGATAGAGAATGCTGGAGAATAATGGTCGGCGGCCTATGCTCCATCGGGAGTAACTGGTGTAAGTAAATAAAATCAGTAATGATTATTATTACTGACTACAATTGGCCACCATTAGGAACATGGAATCATTGAATGGCCGTTTAATCCTAGTATGGGAATCTTCAACAAAACTACGCATCTTCGATGTACACACCCGGGAACTGAACCCACTATATTTGATCTTGTAGGTGAATCCTTAACCTCTAGACCTCAACTGAGCTGAGATCCAACGGTGTTACTATCTAGCTTCAATCAATCTATGATATCGTGTGACCTCATTCATTGTCTTACACCCAAACATGGTTGAATTCCATTGCTCACCACTTCTCATTAGGAGTCCTGGAATCTGCACCAAAAATTTAGCCACTAATGAACAACATGATCATTTTCATGCTGAGTTCGATTCCCCAAAAGCGTAGGTAGTGCATACGCTTTGCTAATAAATCCCATACTAGGATGAAACATCTGTCCAATGCTTCCAAGTTTCTAATGACAGTCTAAACACTAATCAAACTCAACAATCCGCACAATCATACTGTTGTGATGCTTTGCTTAAATAATTCCCAGCTAAATCTTATTGCTTAGTATTCTCTGACCACAATACACTGGACAAGTTCCAAAAAATCAAAACACGGTTGAAAAGGGAAAGATTATATTCCAAATAGAAAAGGTTAAATGGAAATAAGAAGCTAAAGGTGATGGCGAAGGCGAAGGCAAAGATAGATACAACGTTAGTTTATTTATAGCATTTACATGAGAAGCTTCTGGATAGTAGTAATTCACGTGATCGACTAGATTAGATTTAGCCAGTCAGCGTGCAGCTAACAACAACACGACAATCTTCTACCCATGTTCTCCAAGAATCGATCAGGCGCTGATTGGGCTAGGAAATGAGCCAATCAGCGCTCAGCTGACGCAGTCATGCTTTAATTCCATCTATGTCTCACTAACATATACTTTTAAATAAAATTTTCATATTTTACTCTAAAAAAAAACACATCATGTATACACTTACCTAAAATATCTTCAACAATTTTTTGTGCCTGTTCATCTGTGCCTGTTGAATTATTCATAATCCATTGTCTACGTGATAAGGATGTTGAAGATGATGATGAATCACCACGTGAACGCATTAATTCTTTATATTCGGATATACGTAATTTACGACCATCAACTATACATGTACGTTTTGGACGTGGTCTATAACGATACGCCGGATGTTCTTCCATATGTTGACGACTTAAACGTGCTTGTTCTTCATAATACGGTTGTTTAATTTCAGCACTCATTGATTTCCATTTTGCACCAAGAAATTTTGATATACTACTATTATGCATATCAGGGCATGCCTAGTTGAAATATTTTTTTGAAAAAAAAAAGTAGAAATTCAAGATTTTTTTTAAAAAAAAATAATAATCAATTTCAGTTTTGATTGTTTCTTTTGTATTATGGTGTTTGTGGTGGTTGTTGAGCTAGTTTATGAAATCAACGAACCAATCATTGTTAGACTAGCATTAGGAACCTGGAAGAAGCACTGGATTGTCGTTTCGTCCTGGCGTGGGACTCATCAGTGACAGTGCGCATCTACAACTCCTGCGAATCGCAGGATTGGAACCTATGATCTTCAGTCTTGAGCGTAAACGCTGAAGCCGGTATTTAACGGTGTTACTGTCTAACTTCGATCAATCTACGGTCTTGCGCCACCTGCTTCTGTTTCACACCCGAATAGGGGTTGAACTCCACCGGTGGTCACGATATCTCATTATCGTGGACTGACTGAAGTTAAAAATCCACAACATTGAATGCCAGGCGTTGGCGAACAAAACCGAAACTGCTTCGTTCGACTCACCCAAGTGAATATCATGAATGCGCACTACCGATAAGTCGCACACTAGGATAAAATAGTTATCGCAAACGTTTAACCTATGGGCCACTGAGCCCTCATTTAACGTTATTATTGTCTAACTTCAATCAGTCCACTATCTTCAGTTTTGGACTCCATCGGTGGTCACGACTTCTCACTAGAACTCGGAAAGACTAGAGATAAACATAGTATTATCAACGATTAAATTTTTTTGAAAATAATCTTTCAAGCTGATGAACAATATCACAGTTAGATTGATTTACTTCACAGTCTCATAGTCAGTCAATCAGTCAGTCAGATGCAACGTAGAACTTCGTACGTACGTAAGTACATCAGTTCATGTTGCCATACCACATTATTAGCACAGAGATGTAATTGTCAATTCAAATCCAATGTTGGTAGAAGTAATAAATGTATTAAGAGTAATCAGAGAGGTTACGATAAGATATTATTCAAGAAGTATGATTTAATGAGAAAAGTTTAGAAAGTCAAAACTAGAGGTGTTGAAGAATCCAGAAGATTAGGATTTGAGAGAACACAAAGAATAAATGCACCGGCGCCATTGCAAACGGTTTTGAGCCATGTCATTCAGAATCGCTAACCATCGATTACTAACATCTCTCGGACCCTAACCAGGTAGGTAGTCAACAACTACCGACATGACTCTCAGTTCACTTGTCAATGACTTCATAGATTTCTACCATGTTTTGATTTGGTTAGACATCCACACCATTGAATACCAGCTCACAACAGTAGATGTCTACAGGTTAAACATTCACGCACAACACCGTAGCTCCTCAGTTCGACTGCCACGAGTGGGTATATCATGGGATGTCCATTACTTCCAAATTTTTAATCGGACTCGAACATTGATTAGTTTAGTTTATTTAGTAGTTGAATTCAATTTTTAAACGAAAATGAAAATTAAAAATAAATAAATATTGATAATAACTATTCATCTCTAAAAGTACAACCATGAAACAGTTGTTCATTACATCATCATAATTATTATTTCCATTGACATTGTTAGCAACCCCCCTCGTGCGCCCCCCTAACCAAATCACTTTCATTTCAATGAATCAATCTAAGAATTATTAAATCTTCAGTCGTTTCTTCTCTCTGTTCTCCTCCTTTTTTTTCTCTTTCATTTTGTTTATAATTATCATAGATATTAGTAAGTACAACGCGGAAAGTTTAAACATAAACAAAACAATGCTGATAAAGGTCAACAATTGAATATTGACATCCCAAATAAACAAACAAATAAAAAAAAAGAAGAGAAACCGCTAAATTTCAATTTGTGTGACCTATTATTATTGTTGTTGTTGATGATGAGTTTTTCCTTACACTCATTATTATGATTATTACGGTTATGACTATTTACCAAAAAACACTGATTCATGCTGTGCTGATCAACCCCAATGTGTGTGTGTGGGTGTGTGTGTAACGCACACCACACTATAATCCCATCAAGTACGTGTTCTAATTACTATTATTATTATTATTATTGTTACATAAACAGCGCGAAACACAAACATGTAACTCTTAGCACGGTCACACACACACACAAACACACACATACAATGTGTTTGTTTGTTCGTTCGTCAGTGTTTACACACCCCAATAGTAAACAACAGCAACAACATACGAATTGTTTACTAATAATATAAAAATAAGTAGTAGTAGTAAGAAATAATCAAGAAACAATGGGAAAAGATAACTTTTGTTTATCAACTCTGCTAATTTCTTTTTCCTTTCATTCGATGGATAGGTGTGCGTATCTGTCAATTTTCAAACAACAACAAGCACACTGTGATACTGTTTTAAGGGGCAACCTATAGAAGGAGGGTATGTTGACTGTTTTTTTATCAAGTCGCTGACAACAACAGAGATAGTGAACGGACGAACGAGTGAGTGAATGAGAGAGGTGAAACAGCCCCGTTATTATTACTAGTAGTAGTATTAGTAGTATTATCAAGGTCGTTGCTGTTGGTGTTTCAGTTGTTTGTTATACCTTACAAAAAATAAAACCGCTTAATCATTATTCAATGAGCTATTTGAACGGCTGTTCATAGAATATCAACAATAAATAAACTATGTTGAAGATAAAGTTCAAGAGAAAAGAAATTGAACGAACAACCACAATAATAATCACAACAACGAGAAGAAGTGATAGTAGGGAGATGGAAAACACAAAGAAGTTTTTATTTTTCTGTTTACTTTCATTGAAGAAAAGTAAAGTGAAAAAAAATTGAAAAAGTTGAAGTATTCATTATGAGAGTGATGAAGATGATTGGTTATGTTAAGTTGAAATCATAAATTGATCATTGTTAGGGCCATTCATTAGAAGCTTGAAAGTACTAGATGGTTGTTTCGACCGTCCAGCAGGTCGGAATTAAACTTAGCAAGACCTTCGATCTCGTGTGCAGTGAGAAATTATCATCGTTGGATGTCGATTCGGTGGGTTAAGCGTCCGTACGTGATACCGAATGTTCTAGGCTCGATTCTAGTGTTCGGCCGTTGTGGATATGCATTGCTGAAGAGTTCAATACTTGGATGAAACAGCTTTCCAATACTTCCAGATTTCTTTCTAATTGTGATCTAACAATGATCGATTCATGAGTTCAGTGACAAAACTGAGACATTCGGATTTGGACAAATACCCTCCCTATATTACCTCCGATTGTATGTATCAGTTTACACATGTGCAAACCAAAACATATACATCGAAGGAACAAAAAGGAAAGTTTCTGTCTTTATCTCCGAATGTATTTAGGGAACGATTTTCAACAGCTCAGTTGCTTATCACCAGTTTGACAGTGGTCATAACACTGAAATGTTAGTAGAAGAGGTAGTAAAGATATTAGAAGTAATCGGAGAAGTGAGGATTAGAAGATATTATTCAAGAAGTATAATTCAATGAGATAAGTTTAGAATGACAAAACTAAAGGTATTGAAGAACCCAGAAGATTAGGATTTGAGAGAACATAAAGAATAAATGCACCGGAGCCATGTCATTCAGGGTCTCTAACCATCGATTACTAACATCTCGCCGACTCCAACCAGGTAGTCGACAACTACCGACATGACTCAGTCCACTTGTCAATGACTTCATGGATTTGTGCCATGTTTTGGTTTGGCCGCCCCTAACTTTCTTACAACCTATTCCTACACTACAAAACAAAGCTCGACGAGGCAGTCGGTGGTTAGGCATACGCAACACATGTCCCAACCACCTCAACTGATGAAGTTTCATTACTTCATCTATTGATCTGCCATTCTTACCTAGTACCCGTTTCCTAATAACAGCATTGTTCACTCAGTTGTCCCACGATATACAAGCAATACTTCGAAGACACCTATGATCGAAAACTAGTCGTAACATACGAATATCTTCTACTCCCACTGGCCGCCATGTTTCACATTCATAAAGTAAGACGGAGCGCGAACTACTGGCTGTGAAACATGGCAAACCAGTAAGAGTAGAAGATATTCATAGGTTACTACTAGTTTTCGAGTAAGTAAATACCATCCCATCCCATCCCATCCCATCCCAGTTATTATTATTATTATCATCATTTCATATGTACCACAATAAACCTAATCATCTTTTGTTTAGTAAAAATGTAAGTGATATTTTCAATTGTGTCATAAATTAACTTATATAATACAAGAAAATTTTTTATCAGTAAATCAAAAAAACCTTAGTGAAACTACTACTATTAACAATAATTATTAGTGATATGGATATCGTATCATTGTTATTAAACAAAATGTCAAATCACATTACGGTTACACTAGATAGTAGTATTATTTGTGGTATAGTTGATTGACAAATGCTTATGTTAATATATATATATATATATATATATATATATATATATATAAAGTTATAGTTATATATGTCAAATTCAAGTTTTATTGTCAGTAAAACAATTGTCAACTTATGTTAAATAAGGATTTTAATTAGGACATTTACAAATATATAGATTTTATGAAAATCTTCATATAAATGGATAGAGAGAGAGTTATGAAGATTGGTGGTTTTTTCCTATTGAAATCATGTGAATAGTCGTTTCGTCCTGATTCGGAACTCATCATCATCATCAGTGCACATCCACACTATGAGTAGGGTTGCGCAAAAATCTTAGATTGATCAAACTTTTAGACATTAACACCAATGGATGCCGGCTTAGTAGTGTACGAGACCGAAGGTCTTGCGGTTCGACTCCCGTGAGTAGGGAGCATGGTTGCGTACTACTGATGATTTTTTATGCTACGGTCATCCAGTGCTTTCAGGTTTCTAACGGCCGTCTACCAATGATCGATTCACGATTTTGAATGTAGAAAATACATTTTATAGTCCATCGCCTAAAATATACGACTCTGCCTGGAGCCCTTCTAGGGTTACTGTCCGTCTCAAGCCCGTAGGTAAAGGAGGAGCGTTCGGCATGGGATTAGTGACCACAGCCCGTAGAAATCCAACTCGCTAAAAAGAAGCTAACCAGAAAAATAATTCGCTGATCGGCAACCTATGATCCGTTAGGGGTAAAAGACATAAGTAAGTAAGTAAGTTACATAATACACTACAAAATATTGTAAGCAGGGGGTGGTTAGTGGATAGTAGTAGAAACGTCAGTGCGTGTTTCATTCTATTTGGAACTCATCAGCTCGATAATCCACCAGAAATATATCAGAATTGATGTGTTCACTTTATGGGACTAGAACCATGTATTCTCCTCCCCAAACTTCATCACGTTATTCAGTTCGATACTGGCTTATGTAATTAGGTGGAGTATAAAACACTTGAACGGCAGTGGGTTCGAGTCTCAGAGTAAACATCAACTGTGCGGTGTAGGTAGGTGTATGCCCAGCTGAACAGTCCCAATTGCGATGAAACTTGTATCTTGCATTCCACTGCTAGCCAATATATAATAGCATAATGTTTGTGATAAACACGAGAAGATTCAACCGACCAATTATATAATTATTGTATAATCCTACTAAAATAGTTCATCATTGCATTATCAGTTGACAGATCAAGCCGTAATATGTCAAAAGTTAATGTAACTCTGATAGGTAATGAATACCGAAAAAGAAAACTGCTCTACAATATTGTTTAGTTTTTTTCATCATTGTTTAACTAACTTATTTCTTTTGTGACAATTTGTAAATGACTACTACATCGAAATAAAAGATGAGCATATTAATTAGTTCAATTGGCAAAAAGGACTATTTGTCACTTATAGAGATTATAAAGTTTTTATTTGGAACTATGCATCAATCATTTTTAGACCATCATTAGAAACCAGGAATCATTGAACAGTAGGTTTGTCCTAGAATCGGACTCTTCAGCAATGCGCATCCACAACCCATGACACCGGATTTGAACCCCCGACCTTCAGTCTCGTATACGAGCGTCCAACATCTAGACTAATGAGCCGTTTCCCAACGGTGTCAACGTTCAACTTTAATCAATGCCTTATAATAATCACTAGTGACTTGCTTCTTGAAAAAATCCTCCGAATTCTACTGAGTAGCCATGACCAGTGGAGTTCAATCGTATCAGGTGTAGGCAGTAACTACCGAAGACAATAGATGAGGTTGAACATTATAAAGGGAATAGTTGAAGCTGAACATTAATAATGTTGGATACCGGCTCCTTGGTTTAGAGGTCAAACATTCAGGAGCAAGACCGAAGGTGTGTGGGAGTCATGTATGTATGTGCACTGCTGACGAGTTCCATACTAGGACGAAACGACCGTCCATTATCGACAGGATTATAATAGTGGTCGCACAATCATCCATTTTTATAAATTCAATCAAAAAGATTATTATTTTATATAACTGAAACCTTTGTATGTGTCTGGTAGATGATAGTTGGCTTTTATTTCTTATAGATGAGATATTACAATATTCATTTCTGAAACTGTTAGATGGTAAAAATTTAGTCAGTCACTCAGTTGCAACATATACCTTGGTACACACATACATATGTACATCAGTTCAGAATACTATTATCTCATTTGGCATATAACCAGATGAAATTATTAGGCACCGAATTCCAGAATAGTAGAGGTTAGTTAGTAACAGTATTAGTGGTAATAGACAAGAGGTTATAGATCAAATGTAGACATTTAAAACATAGAATCTGGATGAAGACAAAGAATGGATTCAAAGTCCCTACTAGCCACTGCTTATCGACAATAACGCAAATCTCAACCAGATAATAATCTACAGCCATCAAAATAGCCCAGTCCAATTGACAATGACTTTATGAACAAGTCCGGTATTTTACCTTGGCTACTCTTAGATTTCTTCTAACCTTCTCCTTACAACAACACCAGACAGCATCGCTTATCGAGCTTTGCCAGTGGTTCGGCATACATAACACATGTCTCAACTAACTTATTTGGTAAAGATTCACAACTTCACCAACATATATAAAAAAAAATGATTATCAAACCATATATATATTACCATTTATGAGTAATGTGGCACTTACTTTTAAAATTTTTCTTCTCTCATCTCTTGCCCATATCATAAATGCATTCATTGGTCGTTTAATATGCGAAGAAGATTTATCACAAGACTGATCTAGATTGGATTTACTTAATCGATGTGATTTCACATGTGGCTGAAACGAAAATAATAATAATAATAATAATAATAATAATAGTTACCATATCAAGTTACAACATAATTATAAACAGAGATGGTTAATGGCTGAACGCATGTTTCATCCTATCAAAGACTTGTAAGTTGGATAATGAACCTGGCACACATGTTAGAATTGGTGTACAATTCAGGATTCGGATCAAGTATCGTACGCTTCAAATACCATCATGTAATTTAGCTTATTAACTACTAAGTTCAGATAATCATTGAATTATGTGGTAAAGTAAGGGTGTAATCCAAGTGTTTCAGTACACTGATGTTTAGGACTATAATTGGATCCGATTTCAAACGAACAGTATTATGTATTGAGTTTCGGAATAAAAATCAATTTTGAGATGCAGGTGTGTCTAAATGAAGAGTCCCAAGTGGGACGAAACACATATCCTGTATTCCACACAGGATACACATATGTCAAATTAAATTGTTCTATTAAAGTTCTAACGTTCAAAAAATGTCATCGAAAACATGAATTGATGGAATTTCAGACCGCCATAAGGGGTCTGAATGCACTGGACGGCCCTTTTAGTCCTAGTTTGAGACTCATCAACAGTGCGCGTCCACCACACCGCATATTAAAAATCTAACCCGAAACTTTTGGTCTCACACGAAAACGCTAAACTCTAGACCACTAAACAAGAGTCCAACGGTATTAATGTCTGATTCCGATTTTCGAGGCAGTGTATTCTTTGATCTACCTTTTTCCTTTTGGCCTTCAGGATTCTAATTTAAGGCTTGTCTCGTGATGCAATTGAGTACTTTCCACAGTATGTATCTTATTCACTTCCAGCATCTTTTCCTAATTTTTCCCTCAACAGTAATCCTGTTTGTTCTCTGTCACAATAAGTTGTCGCTGATGGTAAATAGTCAACAGATCTACAGTATTTTGCATAGACAACTTCTAATAAACACCTGTATCTTGTAGATGATGGCTTTCATAGTTCTTCAAGTTTCTGCTCCATACAGTAGAGCTGTCTTGACATTTGTATTGAAACTGTGACTTTAATGTTTGTCAATAGTTGTTTTGGGTTCCAGATGTTGTTCAATTGTAGAAATGCAGCCCTTCACATCCGCATCAGATCCACCTTGCTAATCAATCATGTTATTCCGATATGTATATGTTTCGACATCCCCAGAAGCTTCTCCGTCAAGTTTGATTTGGTTGCAGCATGCTCTATTATATGGAAAGATTTTGCTCTTTCCCTTATGTATATTGAGCCCTAATACTTCAGAGGCTGCTGACACACTGGCCGTCTTCTCTTGCATTTGTTGTTGTGTATGCGATAAAACAGCCAGATCATATGCGAAGTCCAGATTGTCCAGCTGTATCGGAGCTGTCCACTGAATTCTGTTTTCATAATCGAGTCAAACATCAGGAGAAAGAAAGAGTGGGTGAAGTTAAACAACCTCATCTGACACCGGTCTTATTCGAAACGAGTCTGTGAGCTATCCTCCATTCACGATCTTGCAGTTTAATCTGCTACATACTAACATAATAGGGATTCGTACATCCTAAACAAAATGTTATTCTGTAAGTTTTAGCATAATTAGTTTGCGGTTAAATCCGCAACCTAATGTGATGTACAAAGAAATCTTTGAAACCATGAATCGATCAATGTTAGACCACCATTAGAAACCTGGAAGCACTGGACGGCCGTTTCGTCATGGTATGGGACTCCTCAGCAGTGCGCATCCACGACTCCTGCACCCCGCAGGATTCGAACCCAGGACCTTCGGTATTGTGCGCGAACGCCCTAACTGTTAGTCGTGGATGCGCACTGCTGAGGAGTCCCATACCATGACGAAACGGCCATCCAGTGCTTCCAGGTTTCTAACGGTGGTCTAACATTGATTGATTCATGGTTTCAAAAATGTGTAACTTGACAATCTTCACAACCCCGTAAAGAAATCTTTCCCGATTCGAATGTAGGTAGTAAATCCGGAAGACAAATGAGTGAGGTTGCGCAAAATCCCTAGATTGATCCCAATGAGACATTAACACCGTTGGAGCCATATCGTTCAAGGTCTTAAAGCATCGATTACTAACATCTCGCGGACCCCAACCAGTTAGGTAGTCTACACCTGCAAACATGACTCAGTCCACTTGTCAGTGACTTCATGCCTTTCTGTCATGTTTTGATTTGGCCGCCCCTAGCTTTTCTTCCAACCTATTCCTACACCACAAAACATAACTCAACGAGACAATCTCTATCCAAATAGAAATCAAAAACAAACTATTTATAATAACCTACATGATGCTGTTGTGGTTTTTCTAATATTTCCAAATCTAATTCATTCTTTTTCTCTTCTATATTCTCATAAGTTGATTTGAATTTTTTCACTTGTTTTAAATGAACATCTTTTTTACTCCTCACTAAATCTATTGAATATTGATCATGTTCAATATGTATGGTTGAGTCATTTTGATGCTGAAAATGATGATGATGGTTGATTGATTCCAGTGGTTTATTCAACAATTCATCATCTTTTTCATGATGATGATAATGATGAGAAGAAGTCGGAGGATTAGTTTCATTGAAATTCACATTTTGATTCAGCATCAAATGAGGATGATGATAATAATATTGTTTAGTTGAATTAATGTGATTATTTAAATTTGAATCTGTTTTGGCGGATAAATTGAATTTTGACAATGGTGGTGGTGATGTTGTTGTTGTTGTTGTTGTTGTTGTAAAATGTTTTAAATTTACATCTTCTAAACATGGTTGATTATGATGATCACTATCACCATGATTAATATTATTATTATCATTGTAAGTAGTATTAGTAGTAGTATTATTAGTGATAGGATTATAAAATATTGATTGATTATAATCTATTCCATTGGAAGAAATGTTTGATAAACAAGAGAAATTTGAATTTGTACCATCACCATTATTGAACAATGAATTGGTGTTTTGTTGTTGTTTCATTAAACTGAAATTATCCCCATCAATCATTGGTAGTTGTGTTGAGGACAATGGGGTGGTGGTACTCGTTAGAATGAGTGACCTTGAGTTATGATTCATACTACTACTATTTTTATTGTTATTATCATTATAAACGGCTGGTACGGGAAAATCAAATTGATTATGGCTTATTTCAGATATTGATTTTAGCTTTTCACCGAATACTGTTGAACTAGGAGGCAGTGGAGGAGTATTTAAAAATGAGAATAGATTACTGTTATGATTAGCATGATTACTACAATCATTCTGATTAGGTATTATGTCACCGTTAGGTTTCATCATATTCTCTGTAATCATAGCATGATTATGTAACAGTGGGGGTGTAGTTTTGTCTTGATTGATTAATTTCAACTGAATTTCACGAATCATGTCATATAACTGATGAAATGTATGCGATGGGAGAGATTTTACCGGAGGAGTTGTTGCTGCGGCTGCGGCTGCGGCTACTGCTTTCGTCTTATCGATCGAGTCAAGGTCATTGGGGAAAAATCGATTGGAATCATTGGACAGTAGTATCATTTCCGAGTTAGCATTGAATAATTTTGAAAATTGTTTCATAAATAACAGGGAATTATTATGATTAATGTTATTTTCTATATCATTTTGTTGTTGAAATGATTGTTCTTCATAAGTTGATGATAATTTTGAATAATAAAATTTTAAATAATTGAACATTGTATCCGTGATCAAATTGTTTGATTGTTGTAGTAATACTGGATTTGTTGTTGAATTAATAATCTTAAATGGAGAAGTGGGTAAAAGAGAGATAAAGATAATGGGAAATTCTATTTTAATCAATCAATCAATCAGTAGCAACGTAGAACTTCGTATGTACGTACATCAGTTCATGTTGCCGTACCACATTAGCATACAGAGATGCAATTGTCAATTCAAATCCAATAGTAGAAGAGGTAGTAGAGGTGTGGTGCGAGCTACTTATAAGTAGTAATTGACGTGAGTGTCAACGTGATGTCTGGCAGCAGAAGATAGGGGGGAAGATCAAGAAAGGAAGAGTTAGAAGAACACAATGGAATTCGTATGAAACGCATGAATAGTGAGTGACAATGGATTGATGTTTTGCAACAGGAACAGTCCAGTTCGATATGATGGACTGATATTTTGCAAACTAACACGATTTACGATATGGTTTTCCAATTTTACTGTGTAACTCTGTAATTTCCGTTAAATACAATCCGGTTGCCCCACATGTGTTCTCCTTCACTACAGAGGTATTAGCAGTAGTCGGAGAGCTTAGGATTAGAAGATATTATTCAAGAAGTATGATTCAGTGAAATAGACTTAAAAAGATAAGGGTAAGATGATGAAGAATTAAAAAGTTTGGGATTTGAGATAACACAAAGAATGAATGCATCGGTGCCATTGCAAACGTTTTAGAGGCATGTCATTCAGGGTCTCTAACCATCGATTACTATTATCTCGCGGACCACAACCAGGTAGTTGACATCTGCCAACATGACTCAGTCCGCTTGCCAGTTTTGTTTTGGCCACCCTTAACTTTCTTCCAACCTACTCCTACACTACAAAACATAGCTCTTCGAGGCAGTCGGTGGTTAGGCATACACAGCACATGTCCGAACTACCTCAACTGATGAAGTTTCACTATTTCATTTATTTATCTGCCATCCTCACCTAGCACCCAATTCCTAACAACAGCGTTACTCACTCGGTTGTCCCACGATATACGAGCAATGCTTCGAAGACACCTATGATTGAAGACCAGTTAATATTTTAAACTAGAATAATTCTATGATGAAACAAAAAAACCAAAAACTTGAGGTTATGCGTGACTACTAGCTTCCTTAGGTAGGTAGTTCTCAGAATCGTAACGAGAGACTGTGACCAGCCGTGTTA